CCAGCATGGAACTTTCAGCTGTAGGTGTAGTCAAAAGTGTTTGCGTGTGCGTGCGTGCGTATGTGTGTGAGTGTGTGTGTGGCAGGGGTGTAGCTTTAGTCCGCTGGCAGCACAGGTGTAAGTTGAGTTCTTGTAACGCACGTAGAACTTAAGTCATCATCATACAAATAAAAATTTATGACTTTAAATGCGTGTGTGTGTGGTGTGTGGGAAAATTTTGTGGTTCTGTGTGTGAGCGTGTGTGTGGTGTAGGTTTGGCTTGGCTTTCCTCTGTTTACCCAAATATTACCTTTTTTGCACTTGTATCTGTTTGTAGTTTGTTGGTTGGTGCTTGTACTTATTTTACTCGTATTATACCCTGCCAAAAGTTAGCTCCTTAGCAGGAGGCAGTTGCTATGCGTTCCACATTCACAAATGCGTAATATCCTCATTTAAAGTCTCTCATAAACAAAGCTATCTTCAGGAAACTTAGCAACCATCAGTCTTTTATATAGCTTTTACAGGATCGGTCCAAGAATTCTTTGTTTTCCAATGTATCTCAACTATAATCAGAAGGCATTTGCTTCCCTATGAGCCATATCTCAAATGTCTCGCTTTACAATATCATATAGCTCCTATATAAACAATAGACTTAAAAATGACTATCCATTATTTAGTTTTGAAAAATATTTAATCAAAATGTTTCCAGTTTCTCAGTAAAGATCGATCAAATATTTAAGTAATATATGAAAACATCATTGTGTGTCGGAAAGTGTATTCAATGTTCGGCACCTCAAAGAAAACAGTTTCCATTAATTGGTTCCTTTATGTGGTATGCAAAAGTTGACTTTGAGGACAGGTCGTCACAGTTGAAGCAAACAAGTAGTACTAATTTGTTTATTAATTATTAAGCAACAATTTGCTTATTAAATATTAAGCAACATAATATTTTTACAAAATCTCTAGAATTAAATAAATAATAATAATGAATATTATAAAATAATAACAATTATAATAATACAATTAATAGCAATCATATTAAAACAATACAATATAATAATTTAACAAGTAACAATGAACATAATAATAATAATTATAATAAAAATAATAAGTATAATAATAATAATGTAATGATAATGAGCTGCAACATATGTATATTATAAAGAAAGATGTAATGTATCTTTACATAATAAAACAAGTAAGAGGTTCTAGTCGGGAGCTCCCGACTAGGGGATACCCTGAACCCTCTTCTTCCAACATCAAATGTATATATATATTCTATTTTAGAAGCTATGTATATGTTGCCCAAAAAACAGGATATCGATATCGATTTTTATCGATTGCTTGGAAACGGAGTAAGTCATCGATTATCGGAAACAAACTCGATCTGCGCGGGAACTAGGAGTATCTACATCTCAAATTTCTCTAGCTCTTATAGGTTCTGAGATCCTTGCGATCATACATACGGACGGACGGACGGACGGACGAACAGACAGACGGACATGGCTAGATCGACTCGGCTATTGGTGCTGATCAAGAATATATATACTTTATGGGGTCGGAGATGCTTCCTTCTGCCTGTTACATACATTTGGATTTTGCACAAATACAATATACCCTTGTACCCATTTTTAATGGGTTCAGGGTATAAAAAATATTAATTATACAATATAATTTTATTTTAAAATTTTAATAATAATGAACTGAAAAATAAATTATAAACACAAGAATATTAAAAATAAATAAATGTATAATGCTAAAATTAATATATATAAATTATGTATGTAAAAATTCCGTCATTTTGATTTCCCCTTTATTAATTCTTGCTGAAATCAGTGGCTTCAATTAACTGCATATTTATTTATATATTCATGTCATTAAAATGTGTAGCACGTGGCCAATTGAATGAGTAGTTCACGCAGCGGGATTCTCATTACCAATCGCAATATTCATGAGCTTTGCTGCCTGAAGTTAACTTTAGCGAGAATTCCTTCAGTAATGTGCGTCTACTTAAATGGAAAGCGGTGCAGAAAAAAGATGAGAAAAGGAAAGAAACTACAACACAAAGCAGCTTGCGAGCTACTTTTCAACTTAAAGTTATTATCCTGGGGTAGGCTAGCAGGCAGGCGGGCGAGCGCTGCAGCAGCCACTTGCAGACTTGCCAGACTTTTGAATAAATTTTCAATCTGCCGTCTGACAACGAGGACAACAACGACAATCAGCATTATGAATATGTAGCTACATCAACTTAACTTGATGTATGTGCCTCATTGTTGTAGTTGCCGTTGTTGCTGGGCGTCAGTTTGTCGCTAAGTGAAAAGCCAAGCCAAGTTGCTTGAACATTTTTAAAAGCCGCTTTACTTTTGTAAATAGTCAACTTTCGCTTGGGCGCAAACTTTTCGCCAACACTACGGCAAGAAAGAAAAAGACGGAAGCTCTGCATAGAAAGACGAACATTTTGCCCAACTGCATTCTTGCTGTTCTGTTCTGTTCTTCTTCTTTTTTTTTGTGTGTCATTTTTCGTTAAATGCTTTTAGCCGCTTTGCCAGAAACTTGACTGATACGCTTGAAGCGCTCACTGATACTTTCCTGTTCGTTTCTGTATGCTTTTCCTTTTGTAGATATAAATGGCATTAGTAATGCAAATAATTAAGCACTAAGCAACTGATAACAAATCATCAATTAAATAGAGCCAATTAAATCTAATGCGTTGGCCTCCAAGAAAAATAATCAAAAGAAAGGAGGAGACGAAAAATGTTTTTGAAATGAAAGAAAAGTGCGCTAATCAGGAAAATGCGCTCGAGAAAATGTGCGACAAAAGAAGTGGTCGAAAAACAAAGTGTCCGCAATTTCTCTTTGTGGTCAACCGCCATTAACGTTTATTACGCCCGCAAATCGCCAACAATGAAGCCGCAACACAAAAAGCAAAGAGCAATACTCAGGAAAAAAATATAAAAAAACAAAGGAAAGAAATAAAATAAAAACAATGTGCAAAAAAAAAATATAATTAAAAATAAACATTACGCAGACAATGAAAAGAAACAAAATAAATAAAAATAAATAAATAACAGAGCGAGAAGAAAAAATGTGTAATAAAAGGTGCAAATTGCATTGCAGGACAACCAGACGCCTGAGCCTGTGCGTGGTCCTGGTCCTGTGCTGCCACCAGAACATCCTGCCTGTCCGGCTGAAGCGTTTTAGGCGCCTAATTGAGCGTTTTAGTTATGCTAATTGTAGGGGACGACTCCCCCGGCCCAGCATCCCATGCCCACAGCTATGGCCAGCAGCTCATCTTTATTGTTGTCATTTCTTATTTCGCATCTCGAGTCCGGCACAGGCATGAGATCATTAATGCGTTGCCATTTGGGGCGTGAGGTCTGGGTTTTTGGAATGTACATAATTAATTGTGTAATTATATGGAGCAGCAGTATAGGGATACATATGCACTGGATAAATAAATACAAATTGTTAAAAAACACAAATCTTTCTTAACGTTACGAGTACAATTTCTTTTAAAAAAAAAAACATAAATAATTTTTAAAGCGCACTGCCAAGCAATTCTTTAAGTGTGCAAATATATATAAATTATAAACTATTATCATATACTTTATCTAATAGATCAAACAATACACTTCCAAAAAAAGATATGTCCATCTCATGATATTAAATAAATATAAATGTTATTATTATATTTAAATGAATATGTTATGTAACCATATATATTTTTTAATTATAGTATAATATTTTAATAATTATTTGATTGTTAAAATATATATAAACTGAAAATATATGATAAAAATTTAAAAATAAATATGTTCCTAAGGTGATCTTCCTTAAAGAATATTAATATAAAGTTTTAAAAAAGATCATAGTTAAGAGAAGTGCACTAAATCATTATACAAAATAAATTATATAAAAGAGAAGAGCAATTAACTTTTTAGAATTCGTAATACATTTAATAATATATTTAAAAGAAAAATTAAAAAAAATCACAAACATACATATTGCAAACTTAAAGAAAAACTCAAGAAAATTGTTTAAAAAAAAATTTTTTTACATTAATAAAATTATTAAGAAAAGTTTAGCAAAAAGTTGCATTTCGAATAATGTAATATAATAAATACAATACATACATACATTTGGATTTTGCACAAACACAATATACCCTTATACCCATTTTTAATGGGTTCAGGGTATAAAAAATATATTTAATAAAAAAAAAACTTTTATGTGGAGTTTTCTAGTAACAATAATGAACATTATGCGATGAAATAAACTCAGCTTTACATGTACGAACCTTTACTTTACTTACCCGAATTTGGGAACATCCTTATGCAAATAGATTACACATTTTTAAAAATTGTCTTTTTTTGTCGCTCGTTTTATTTTTGATTATCTACCGTAAATACTTATCAATTATACAATTTACGTTTTCCTTTTTTTTTTGGTTTTGTTTTTATATTATATACAATTATATATATATATATATATATATATATATATATATATATATATATATATATATGATATTACATACATAGGTGTATTTATATACTTATAACTTAATTGCTCTTCTTTATTTTTTACTCGTTTTGGGTTTGTGTGTATGTGTGTGTGTTGAAATTACAATTAGGCATAATACATATACGATTATATGTATGAATGTATACAACTTTATGTGGTACATATAAATATCCATCATTTATATACGCATATATAAATAATTTTTACTTTCGTTATACAAATATATATATTTATATATATATATATATATATGTGTGTAATTAATTGTAGAGAAATAAAGTGAAAAGCTTAGCACAACATTTTCTTCAACTCTTTATCGTTTATATTTTATAGTGTATAAATCAGAAAAAGAACCAGTTCGCAAGTGGTTCCGTTTAGGTATGTAGGCAAGTAACAGGCTTATTGGCTCGGCTCGGCAAAGAAAATAATCAGTTTGCTTATCGAAACCTATCGATAAATTAAAGTTTTTTTTTTTTAAATTTTTGGCTTTTTTTTTAGAAAAAAGAAATGAATACAAATGTATCTGCACAATTTTTGTTGTTAGTTTTGAATGCCTTTGAAGTTACTTTGAGCTAGCTGAAACTGGTGTCTGTGTATTTGGGTGTAAATATTTTAGATACATTTAGCAGTTACTTGCTGTTGCCTAGGGCTGAAGCCTACTTTGCTGCCTGCCTCTGCTGCTGCTGCTGCCGCTGGTGCATCTCCGCCTGCTGCCTTTTGACCCTCCCTGAAGTGTGGCACAAGAATTACGTGACAATTGAATCATGTTAATTGCCTGCTGCATCTGCTGCATCCTTTGCTCGTGCAGTTATGCGCCCGCAGGCGTTGCCTCTGCTCCGGTTCGTCCACCTGCTGCTGCTGCTGCTGCTGCGTTTTGTATGTGCCCTCCCGCATGGGCCTGTGCTTTGTAATCTGCAACAGCTGCGACACTAATTGCCCGGCCAGCGACCAGCTGAGCAGCGCCAACAGCGTTCCAGTTGCAGTTGCAGCATTTGCTGCCACAGTTTGAAGACTGGACGCCGACGAGCTGACACCGCGCCAGGCCGCGCCGCCATCCTCTAAACCATCGGCGACATCGTCTTCTTCGCCTGAGGGTACAAAATGAAAGAGAAAGTCTAGCGAGAAATAGAAAAATGCAGGCGATGTACTCTTTCGTTGTTGCTGTTGTTGTTGTTGTATCTGCTACTGTTGCTGTTGTTGTTGTCTTTTGTCTCCATGGAGACGTTTATGTGTATGTGCACACTAATTGGCTGTCAAAACAACTTACCCTGCAGCTGTGTCAGGTAACTGTTCTTCTTGCTGTGAAATTGTTCATCCTCGTGCAGCGTATACTGGTCATATATCTCATCGGCACTCACGCGATTCCCATTGGCGCCATTGCCGCCATATTTGCCAAACGGATCCGCCTCCAATATGGTCTTTTCCGTCGTCTTCCAATACACATCATGCAGCTGAGCACTGCAGCGGAGCTGTTTAACACAACAATTACTCATTAAATCAGTTCTGCAGTGGGTACTATTAGTACTCATATATATGTATATAAATATATAAACTATATTTCACCTTCAGTTTGCCATTATCAAAGTGCTGATCAGTAACCACGAAGTGAATGCCCACAATTGCAGTTTCCATATCGTTGCGCGCATCCCGCAGTATTTTATGATGTCGCACATGTGAGGGATTAACCTGCAAGATAAATAATCAAATTTTGTAGTCCGATCTTCAATAATATGCAACTAGAGAATAAATATTTTTATTAATTAAAAATGTCCTTTTCATTTTCTTATTTTCCTGTGAGAAAAAGTATGGCCTTTTGGTATTAAAAGTTCTCCAATTTTATAGTAATGTAGGTAATTATGTAATGCTGTTATTTGTTTTATTATTTGTTAATTTAATTATAAATCAAAATCTTGCTTGGTCGAGCAACCTTTACTATATCACATGTATCTAGAAAGTACATATTCCACTTAAAATATCATACGCCCAAGTTCACTCGAGCTGCTTGTAAGGCAAAGATCCTATTTCTTTTTTAAACAGTTTACCTAATGTTTAATTTGGCATAAAGTTCTGCTACAAGGCGTAACGGATGGCAAATCATATAATAAACGCAGCCAACTAAATAATTAGCTTACCGAAGCACACACACGCACACAGAGAGAGAGACAGAGAGAGAGAGAGCAAGAGGGAGAGAAGAAGAGAAGAGAAAGGGAGATAGCGACACACACGACCACTCACACGCTCACACGTCGACAGTTGGGGCAATTTGAGCTTCAGTCCATGGCAAACAATGCTCATTGATGGCGCATAATAGCGGAAACAACAACAACAACAACAACAACAAAGGACGGAAACGTTAGCGGCTAAACAAAGCACGCTCAGCCACACTCACACTCACACTCATGGACACACTTACACACACACACATTGGCAAACCGCAATTGCGCGCTGGCAGCTGAAAAGGCGCTTCACGTGCAATTCGTGGGTCAGGATTGCGTTGCTTATTGGGGTTCGCCGTAGTCGATTGATTGCAAGTGCACAGCTCCCAACAGCCCCCGCTGGCTGCCCTGTGCCCCAAGCTCCCAGCAATGTAACGCTTAAAATGTGCTTAAGCAATAAAGCCACAAACAATTAAATAGAAAATGGCGCTAAAATATGGATGCACTGCAAGAAAATGTAAGCATATAATATATTTAGAAGAATTGATCATCCATAATATATTACTGAGCAGCTTAACAGTCAAAATAGCTAAACGGAAAGTATGAAACAATTTTTCTTTTTCACAAAAATTTCTTGTTTACAAAAAATATATATACAAGTTTTTTTTTCTGCTATACGCTCTCAGAGTATATAAAATCTATTAACAATCGTATTACTTTATCGTAGAATTCTCACTGAATTAATTAAATATTTTAATCAATTAAAAAACAAAAGAAAAACGAATATAGAACTAAATCAAATTCATGGAAAATTTAGTTATTACTTTACATATCCTGTATACTATTTTGTTAAACCATTTAGCAGGGTATTTAGTCTTCGGCACTCAGAAACTAACTAAACCTTTCTGCTTTCAGCATAGCTTTGTATTCCACTAAGATCTTGAAATTGTTTTAACAATATGTTTACCCAATTAAGGACTGCCTTGCAATTACATTGTAGAATAAGTGGATCAGAGTCCTTGTAATATAATTTGTGTTAGCTATTTAAATTGTAAGCTACGAAGTGGCCGAAGCAAATACAATCTTAGTTAAAGCATCAGACAGTTGCTAGGACACCAACAGCTAAAATAAAGAGAGCTATGGTATTTAAATGTGTGCCAAACTATATAAATCTTTTATGATATATAAAGATAGAAGACAGAAAGAATCAAAATGTACAAAAGCGAAAGAGATTTGTAATAAAGTAGAGTCAAAAATTATGTTGTAGAAAATGTATGGAAATAAATGCTTCTCTTCGAGTATTTACTTAGCAACGCATTATGAATATTTGAAGCAAATCGTAACAATACGTTCAACATTCAATCCCATGTTCAAAGTCTATTTTACAGTTTTAGATCTGGCTAGAAATATTTTGATACAATATAAACAATATAAAAGGCTAAATCTAGAAATACATACATGCCCAATTTTATATGATTATTTAATTAAATATGTAGCCTACTTTTTATACTCTTGCAGAGGGTATTATAATTTTGTCGTGAAATGTGTAACGCATAGAAGGAGACATCTCCGACCCCATAAAGTATAAATATTCTTGATCAGCATCAACAGCCGAGTCGATAGAGCCATGTCCGTCTGTCTTCTTCTATGCGAACTAGTCTCTCAATATTTAAGCTATCTTTATGAAACTTTGCAGAAGTACCTCTTTCTTTTGCACGCAGCACATATGTCAAAAACCGCTGGATCGGACTACTATATCATATAGCTGCCATAGGAACGATCGGTCGAAAACTAAGTTGTTGTATGGAAAACTTTTTGTCATTCAAGATATTTTAATTAAACACGGCGTTTAAAGATTTCACTATGCTCCCTTCATTTTAGCAAAATCTTATTTACATCGGACTACTATATCATATATTTGTCCTAGATACGGACAAAGCACTATAAGCATTATGAAAAGGTTGGGTCTGCAAGGGTATTAGATCTTCGGCGTGCCGAAGATAGCCTTTTATTCTCGTTTTTATTTTTATTTAAAATTACAACAATCGTTTCAGGAGTTGGGGCTTTGATTTATGCAAACCATTTGCTTTGGCTCATTTCATCTTTCAAACACAAATAGCGTAATACTTCCAACAAATCAGCGCAAGTTTCATCCCACTTTCTAGATCATATAGGACTATTATACCAAACATTCACTTCATTATGCGCAGACATTCAAGTTATTTAAATGAGCTACGAAAAACAGCTGCGTTGCAATCTGAAAAATAGCATTGCATACATTTTGGCGCACAAATGGCAAATTAGTCGGAGCCGTAAACCGTAAACCAAACAAAAAGCCAAACCGTGAGACACGCCCCCTGTGCATTGGTCGTGCATTGTTTTGGTGGGCGTAACTAAAAATGAAAACTGTGAAAATTTCGTTTGGCAACTGAGGAGTTTTCCAATGTCGTTTTGCCGCATTATTATGTCCGGTGCGCGCGTGCATAAAACACGCTAAATTATTAGATCCGAAAATAGAGCGAGTAATGGATGGGGCGTGGCATAACAGATGCTGATCGGAGCCAGTGTGTGTGTTGCCTGGTAATTACAGGGCTAACACACACAGGCACACGCATAAATTACACACAGGCATGCCGCGCTTAAAAACAAGAAAATTGTGTTTGCATAATTTGCGACTCACCTCTTCATTATTCACCGTCCATGTGAGATTGGCCGCCGGCCGGGAATGTCGCGATGTGCAATTGCCCCGCAATATGTCGCCGACCCGATATCTGGGCCGGATTCCGGTTATGAATGGTGCATTGTGCGGCGTCTCTGTAAATGCAATGTTTGAGTGTGAGAAAGTGTGACAGAGAAGGAGAGAGGGAGAGAGAGATGACTGTAAGTTTGGCAGTTCGGCTCTGGAGATTGACCTGCATTTTGGCCATCGACTGTCACTATAGTTTTCACGTAGTATCCCACCAAGCATTGTCCGAATGCCCAGAGCTCCTGCATGTCTGGCTATTTGAAGGCCTCCAATTCGTTGCTGTTTTTATTTTGTTTTTGTTGCTGTTGCTGTTGTTATTGTTGTTGTTGTCTGCGTATTCATGTCGACATTTCGACATTTTGCGTAATGACAGTCGAGTTCTGATCCGTGCGGTTTCGCAGTCTATAATTGAAATGCTTTTGTAAACCTACGCATAGCACAGAGCCCTTTGCCGCAGTTATGATTGAGCCGTGCATTTTGGTTGTGAAAATGACAGAAATCATTCGTTGTTAACTGGGGTTGGGTTCTGCAAGCTGGAACCGTGCGGAATCATGAAAACATTTTCAATTGCTTTGAACTGGCTTGCCGGCTCAAATTATTATTAACCTTAAAGTCACTTAGACCTCAAGTTACACTGGGCTGATAGCTATGGGATTGGCATGGTTCCAGTTCTTAGCTTTTATGGAGTAGTGCTGGAACTGATTTCAGACATGGGTTGATCTAGTCCTGAGTGGCGCTTCATCGGTTTAATAGTAGTCTCTTAATGTTAAAACAATATTTGAGCCTGTTTTTAAACAATTTTAACTAGTTTTAAGACACACTTGAGTCAGTTTTAAACAAGATTGAGACCTGCTCATAATAGGGCTTGAATCCGCTTTGAACCAGTTTTAAGCCCGTGTTGATTCGATCTTGAACCAACTATTATGAAAGCTTGTACTATTAAACTACTTCTTTATAGCGAAGCATATTATGGAGCAGTTTAATCAGAAGTGTTGAACTAGTTTTGAGTTATTTTTAAATCGAGATTTATTGCCAACGCACTAGCTATTATTTGAGTATTAAATAGCTTACAATTGCTTTGACATTTGAATCCTAGCGTCGACCAAACTCCAGCTAGCAGTCAACTGTTTGAGCAATAAAATTGTGCTTGATATTTGCAAGTAGCATAAGTATTTTAAGCAAGTACAATAGAACTTGTGGTTCAATAGAACGACGAATTCAATGCAGACGCAACAGAAAAGAACTTAAACCAAGTATTTTCTATTCTCTCATTCCAATTCATGCCACAAGTCAAAGCTGAGCATAAACTTGCAGCAAGTCAAACACCAGAGCTATGAGATGGCAACTACTGTCTAATTCCATGCATGGCTGTCATATGTGAACAGGACATGCCCAGACCGAGTTCAATTGGGCAGGCCAGGCGACAGACCCAGACTTGAGCCGATGTCAGAAGTCAAGAGATTGGGGACCAGGCGAATGCTAGACACCAGAGCACCAGAGCCAAATGTGGGCGTTACTTAAAAATAAACTTCTAGTTCGAATGTGCGGTATTCGAGCAGACAAAATACAAACAAATTTGCTGGCTTCAACTAAAGATGAAGATATTTAAGCAGCCAAACAAAAAATAAAATAAAATGCACTGGCAAAACGTTTGAGATGGTCAATAAACTTTTGGCTTCAAGTGTGAGCGAGTGTGTGTGTGTGTGTGTGTGTGTGTGTGTGTGTGTGTGTGTGTGTGTGTGTGTTTGTGTTTGTGTGTGTGCGGATGATTGGTTTACGGACTTTGCCAAAGTGGGGGCAACACAAATTGGCCGCTCGCCCGTCTCAGCAAACTCTGGCCGTGTCTATTTCATGTTTATATGACCATATGTATGCCTTTCTGATATGTTTGTGTGCATTTGGAATTGGTTTCTGTGGCAATCGGACCAGCCACAAGCCAACGCCAAACACAGTGGAGCAGCACCCATATATATTATCTTGTTTTCTGATTATGCCGATATGGCTGCAACATTTGTGGCGTACATCATTAAATGCTGTTCGTGTTGCAAAGGCTTATCGCATAATCGATGGTCGGTCGAGCAGGCACTTACGAACATCATTTAATTAATTAATATCAAATTGTTTGATAGCCTTAGAGTTTATGTGAAGAACATATGTATGTAAGGTGGCACAGGTAGGAGCTTTTTTATAGCTGGCGCCTGAGCAGACACAAATTGGATAGATAGATAGAATAGGGATACTTGGGAAAGAGTATTTTTTACTGACTTAAGAAGATTCACATAAACAGAGTCTAATTTGGTAAGAAAACTGATTAACTGTTGGCAACTAAGTAGACGCACAATAAATTTGACTCTAAATATGAAATACGTATGGGCATAACTTATTTAAAATATCGTCTGGCCTTTAGCTTAAAGCATTTAAGAGCTCTGCTGTGACCCAGACAGCTTAGCAAATGAGATACTCTATTATATCAGAATTAAATATGAATAGAAAGATGCCAAAAGATGTTTGCTTTATGGGAAAAGTGTCTGGCTTTTATCTGACATAGTCTAGCGCATGCTTATAACACTGTGCAACAAATGTAGCATTTTTTTGGGCAGTAAGGATGTTACCCACATTGTTTTTTGTAGAATGGGGCAAATATTTATTTTCCTTTTGATAAGCTTGTGGGTCTCCATATGGAGTAAATATTTGGTTGCTATAGTAAACAATTTATCTTAAGCAATTACTAAGCTTAAGCAGATTTTTACGTTTTCTCTAAAGACAATCGTAAGCTCTTTGACTGTGTCATAGTGTAAATATTGTTCGAGCTGGAATTGACTTTGATTAACAAATTGCAATAATAAAATACTTATAAATGAATAACAGCCAATCCGTGCTTAATTTATTAAGTTGTATATCATTAAAACACTTGTACATTATTTAATATTCGATTGTGTGTGTTTTGCAGCCAACCCAGCAGCATTGAGCCTATCAATTTAAATATTTTCGTGTACTGCAATTTTTATCAGTTGTTGTGCCTTTGTGTTTGTGTTTTACTTGTTTCTTATTTGTTTTTGTTCACTTACCAATAACTTCCAATTCGGCGGCCGCTATTAATGTATGAAATGAGGGCGCATCCGCAGATACTTCGCAACTGTATTTACCGGATGTTGGCATTGTTACCGCATCGAGCACCACTTGGCTCTCGTTCGAGGATGCGCGCTGGGAAAATAAAAGAAGAAGAGGGAAAGGGGTTAGCACGGGCATGGGAAGTATGAGTATGGGAAGTGCCTGCTGACATAAAAGCGAAATAAATTTGTTTAAAAAAATACACACTACAGCTCTATATATATATATATATATATATATATATATGAATATACAACAACAAACGTATCTCGTGGATTGCTGTTGGCTTCGTGTTGAGCTTCCTCAATAATTGAGCGGGCGCACAACAAGAACATAAAAATATAAAACACAATCCGCTGGTTATGGCTGCAAAATTGTTGAAACTGGTCAACTTTATGCGGATCTCAACGAATGTTTGCGCCGTTTTTATTTTGCGCATTTCATAAGCCACAAGTTTATGGCTCTGACTCTTGTATACTGTATACTGTACTGTATATACATGCACATATATATATTTAATAATTCTGGGGGATGTTTCAAAATCATCAACATTTTAAATAATAAAAAACTGCGCGTGTGTTATGTTTGCCAAATATATGTATTTATATGTATATATATGTTTACTTTCTCAATTGATATAATTTTTTTCTGCGGTGCCGAATGCCTAAAGGTGTCGCGAATTGTTAAATGAAATATGGTTTTTTGCTGCTGCACATTTTGAATCGAAAAGAAATAATGTTCTGGCCTTTATTATGCCATATTGAAATCCCAGTAGTGGTTTTATGGACCCGATTTGGCAGCTGGCACTCTGATGAGTTTTATATTAATAAATATTTAAGGCCAGCGGATGACATATGCCCGAAAACTTCATAAAACATTTAATTAAATAGAACGAGCAAAAAAAATGCACAAAACTCGTTAAACGGATGTGTCAGCTACATAAAACTCGCACAATTCTCTATAGTTCTGGACTATCCAGAGTCGTGTTTTATAATATTTTTCTAAATATTCGCATTGTTTGTTTTTTTGCAATTGGAGCACAAACATTTCCATTTGCCATTTTTTTCCATGAACTGCAAATTGTTCGCTACTATTTATTTATTTTTATTTTTGCTTTTGCCATTGTCGCATGAAATAGAAATAGAAATGGAAATGGAAATGAAAATAAATAAAATGCCCATGTATTTCTTTCATATGCCTGAATAATTTCGAAAATTGTAAGGCAAGTTTAAAATGCCAATATTTATTGAAAAATATTGTTCGCCCAAACCAGAAAACCGAAATGCAAAATGACAAAATAAAAAACAACTCAAGAGTTGCAAAAAGGAAGCGCCACGAAAATACGATGTGTTTTTTTCCGGCCCTGTAACTGCCATCAAGCGGAAGTTAAAACCCGTGTTTTGATTTGATTGTGCATTGAAATGTTGTGTGCTCGTTGAACTATGCCCCCCTCCCTCCCAACGGTGCCCCTAATGGTGACCCAGCCTATCCCGCTGCCTGGTTAAGTGAAGCATTTCACTGTCGCTTCGAAGCGCCCGAATTGCAAATGCTTTACATTGTTGCGTTTCGCGTTTAGTTTTCATTATTTTGGTATTTTATTTTTTGATTCGATTTGAACCAAATATTTATTGAAAATGTAAAAAACTATGCACAAATTTAAATACTAACAAAGCTATTTGTATAGAAAATTATTTGTTCTGCAATTATTTTTAAAAAATACGTAAAAAGTGCAAAACGTAAAATATGATTTGTTTCTCTCAATTTTTTATAGCCATTTCAAAAACTAAACCAACTTACCCTGACTTTAACTCCGGGAAAATGAAAAACCTTCATCGGTGGCGTTTCTTTGGGCGTATATCTGTAGAACTCCCGCCTGCCCTTGTACCATTTAACCGAGTACAAGCTGTCATCCTCGATGTCATAGAAGCATTTGAGCACCGCTTTCTCCCCGCGCCGCACCGCGTGCGGCACCCGCACCCGCACATCGCGCAGCGCCGTGGACAGTTCTGCGAAAAAAAAAGAGTTGCAAAATTCGAATTAAATATAAATATGCACGGCATTTTTTTTTTAATTTATTTGCTGACAGCGTACAAAATCAAACTAAGCAATCAAATCCTTGGGGCGCGTATTTCTCATATTTAATTTTCTTTTATATACAATTTGCATTTTATTATCATTTTAATTTTTTTGTTTTTATTAAACAGCTTTGCGAAATTATTTATGATGGGCATTTTATGTTTTATTTCTGCGCTTTATTAAATAAATCCCAACAGCATTTTATGGACTTTCGCCAATTCCCCAAAGCACATCTGACGTTTGCTTGGCGCATATTGATACCCTTTCTGTGGTAGCTGTTGCATAACTTTGTTGATCGATTGGTCAATAGATAATATATAAATAAATGCATAAGTAATACAAATTTAATTTGAGCTTAAGGCATAGTCTCAATTTGTAAGGTTTTATTCAAAATTAGCAATTAAAAATGACTTTAACAATTTCCTTCTCATGTAATCCTTCTTTCATATTAAGACATAATTTAGTGTGCATTAAATTAGACAGCTTTTTAACTCTCTCTCTCTCTTTCTCTCTTTCTAACTTTGTCCACAAATAATTCAGTCTTCTCACGTATTCACAAATGTCTAACTAAGCATTTTCATAGCATAATAATAATATACATATGATTATTATATAATTCATATATTTATTTCATATATCTCATGCATGTACTTTGAATGTCTGCTGCTGAAATTTGTACACATGTCGACGCTTGTTTATTGTCAGCGCATTTTTAGGCCATCAATTTAACTGCCTGTCGCTACGTTATAAATCAGCATAAAACAAGGGAGACATTTCCCTCTGCACCCCTGCTCCCCCCCTCCCCCCACAGCTTGTCTGTTTGTTGTTTATTGTCAGTGCTTGATAAAATATGCAATAAAAAATGTATTTTTGATTTGTGTATGATTACGTGTGATGAGAATTAAAAAAATATAGCACGCTTCGTTGTTGATTTTCATAAAAATTGATTATAAAAAACGCCATAAAAAAATTGTGCGAATGGCTTTGTTTTTTTTACAATCACAATCAACTGATTAGAAATAGGTTGTAATTGTTCTTGGGGTTACATTTAAATATTTTATTTAAAATCTTTCCAATTGTTTACTCGATTTTCGAATGCATTTATAAACCTTAGCTCAGAATCTATTTCTATTATCATCTTGCACTCCATTAATATCTCCTTTGCCTGAAAGTCAATTTAAATTCTCACTCTCTCGCAATCTCTTTCTCAATCTCTTTCTCAATCTCCCTCTCAATCTCCTTCTTAATCTCTCTCTCAATCTCTCTCTCTCTCTCAATCCCTCTCTCTCAATCTCTGTCTCAATTTTAGTCTCCCTCTCAAGCTCCATCTCTCAATCTCTCTCAGTCTCCCTCTCAATCTCCTTCTTAATCTCTTTCCCAATCTCTCTCTCTCAATCCCTCTCTCTCAATCTCCGTCTCAATTTCAGTATCCCTCTCAATCTCTCTCTCTCAATCTTTCTCTCAATTTCCCTATTAATCTCCCTCTCAATCTCTCTCTCGGTCTTCCGCTCAATCTCCCTCTCAATGTCTCTCTCTCAATGTCTCTCTCTCAATCTCCCTCTCAATTCCCTTTTAAATGTCTCTCTCTCTCAATCTCAGTCGCCTTCTCAATCTCTCTCTTTCAATCTCCTTCTGAATCTCCCTCTCAATCTCGCTCTCTCAATGCCTCTCTCAATTTCCCTCTCAATGTCTCTCTCTTAATCTCCGTCTCAATGTCTCCTCACAATCCCTCTCACACTCTCAAATAATTATTTATTTACTATTATTTATAACTAGCTTTCGCTACCACAGAAATTTACTTTCGCACTTTTCCATTAAGAACCTGTAAAACCTACTCTATCCTCTTTTGTAATTCCTGTCATTTAACACCACTTTACGCTTCCTACTTGGACACCGCCGGCCACGCCCCGCCCACCGCCCTTGACAGTGCATCGTCAAGGCTGTAAAAATGCGGCAGCAAATGAATGTCCAAACAGGCAAACACACCCGTATTATACAACCAAGGATTGCTTGTGGGTGCTTGTGTGGGTGTAAATCCCATCAAATAACTGTAATTGCAAAGTTTTTGCACGCCTACAACAAGAACAAGAACAACAACAACAACAGCGGCGGCAGCAGGAACAATGCACATGCAACTCGTCCATTTGTCTGCAGCTCCCAATTGCCAGGACTCATGAAGGCGTCCTCCTGGAGGCCTCCTTCACGTCCTCGTGTCGGTGGCACTGGCAACGTGTGCAATAAATATGAATAACGAGCACAACGTGAGTGGCACACAAAGTAAAAAGCAGCCCACACACACACTCCCACACACACACACACACACACATCCACTCTGGCAGTAAAATGCCAGCCTGAACTTGTCGAGGCGACACACGGCGGCAAATATTTGCCTTGTGCTGCGCTTGAGGGGCGCAATCGAGTGGGTTAGGCATAGGACTTATTCTGTGACTTCTTTTGTTTAATCCTTGTTTATGCAACATGCATGACAAATTTTATATAGCCAGCCAACCCGGCAGACAATCTGTGGCAAACAAATGTCCGGCAACGAATGTGATTTACACATGCAAACACCAAAACAGAAAGTGTCCAAATGTGATGAACCAGTTAATAGATTGGCCAAGGGAATCCCAGCTGTAAGAGGCGAGCAATAAATCCTCAAAAATAAACATAAAAATCATATTTAAAATAGGCTTTCGATTTATAATATTTTGTAGTTCATTTATGTCAATGATTTTATTTAATTTTATTAGCGACCGATTGTGGCTTATTTTTAAAAGCATAAAAAATTATCTCATTCTTATTTTAGCTAGTTTTAGCAAACCCAACTAAACCAACTACATTAATTTGAGTACTTTTCAAACGATTTCTTAATATTGTAAACCTTTTACATTGAGTTTAATAACAAAATCATAGTTTATTTCATTCTCATCTGCACTCTCTTTCCCTTTCACTCATTTCTATTAAGAAAATCCCCCAAGCAAATAAATGTTGTACGAAACTTTTTTGTTAACCATCCGATCGGCCATAAACTCAATTTCAAAGATCTTTGTTCAAATGCATTTGTGGGGTGTTTCACACTATTCCAAAAAAAATCATTTGAGACGTTTTTCATATTTTGCAGAATCAAAGCATCCTCGGTAAAGAGATTTTTTTGATGCAGTTTTAAGTTTTGTCCGATTTGGTTCAAACTTTTTTTCAGAACTCTACAAAATAACTTAAAGACTCAATTTCAAAGCTTTTGGAGAACATTGATTTTATAACATACGTGCCACGGGCAAGGCCGGGTTATACCCGCTAGTATTATAGTTTGTCAATAGCAATTGTGATTTACCAACATATTTTATAATATAATAGTTTTTCATTATTTTTTAACAATTTTTTCTTTTTCCCTCTATTTTTATAAAACTTACAAGGACAAAGTTTTTCTACACGTAACAAGACACTTTTTAGCAAAATTATGAAATTTTCTCTCTCAGATTTTGGAAGTGAGTTTGCAGTCAAATTTAGTGCAGCTAATTGAAACTTGAAAGTGCAAAAGGAAGAAGTAAAAAGCTTAACCCAGAAGTGAAATAACTTGACCTGATCACACTCTCATTATCCACCCTCCCTCACCAACTTCCCACTGAGTTGCAGCTCTGCTGCAAGCTGTCCACAGCAGCCACATAATTTCGTTCCACATGAACTCTTAAGAACCAACATTTGCCTCACTGACCACTCTGTTTACACGAGCAACTTGCAACAAATATATATACACATACATTTATATTCCCTATATTCTATGTATACATAAAATAGAAAAAAATTAAGGCAGCTATAAGTTTTTGAAACTTTGGCCAGGGCAAGTTTATGAACTTTGCTTAGATTGTTGCAGAACATTAAGTTTCACTTGGGCAACAGTTGCCAGTCGCCAGTTACCGGGACATGGCATTTAAATTTTCTATTAGCAGGCGGGCGGCCCGACTGCAGTCAAAGCAGGTGCAATGCCAGGGGCAGAGGAGGGGTGGTTGAGGGGCTCTTCTGACGTTATCGCCAGCTGCCATTTCACACTTGTTTGGAGTTGGTTTTTGGTGTCTGGCTCCACTGGCGCCAAATACATCATAATTTGTCGTGACATTTGAGCCATTAAAAATGTAAAATCGCATCAAAGTGTAACTCGATGCGGGTGCTGCAGATAACAGCAGCAGCAGCAGCAACAGCAGAAGCCACCCCCATAAAAACACATAGTGACCCACACTGCCGCATTTTCCAACACTATTAGTGTCAACGGCTGACAGGCGCATACTTTGTGAAGCAGTCATTATTCAATCGAGTGCATGCGCTAGAGATGCGCACGTGTCGTGTCAAGTCATAATAATTGTATAGTTTCGTGACACGAAAAATATTGCTTACATTCACAAGAACAAGCAATTATCCTCTTATTTCAGATTTAATTAACTGTATTTTATTTTACCAGCTGTTCCACATGAAAGGTTTCATTTGCTACATACATACATATTCGAGCTTCAGGTTCACTTTATAACGGAGAAAACATACATGCTGACAAAACAGAACATGAAGCTGCTCAGCCGAGTTTTACTGTGTTATTAAATATTATTAGTTTATCAGAATATTGCAAATACTTTTTTAATAGAACTTGATACAGCAGCAAAGAACAGGTGTGGTTAATTATTGTTACTCAGAACCCCGATGAGCAGAGCAGACGGGCGCAGACTAACTCGTTACATTAAGCACAGGTCTAAGCTAGGCCAGCATTCACACTAATACATTGACAACATAGAGCACACAGAAATTTAACTTCTCACCTACGCTCTCCACTCTGTCCGCTGCTCGCATAGGCTCTCTCAGCTCTCTCTCAATATGTGAATTACCCCTACGCCCCTTGATCGAACGACAACCTCCGCTGTTAAGTACCTGCAGACCACTCAAAACA